TATATAGGAAGTCTTCTAAAACCTTTTTTTTTCTCTAAATATAAAGGGTTGTTAGCATATTTTAATGAATAGACTATTATACCCTTATTAAATTAAAAAGAAAAAAAGATAACTATTCTCATTAATTTACTTTGAAGAAAGAGATTCATTTTTAATTTTCAATAATTAAGGGTAAAATTGGAATGTTGCTATACTTTTAATTAGATAACTAACTTTTATTAGTTTGCATGATTTAGTTAAAAACACCTTATATATGGGAATGGATGGAGTATTTTTTAAAGCCAAGGGTGAAAATAAAAATACATATCATTTTTTTTATAATATAAAAAAAAGACTAACTTTTTTTAAGATGCATGAAATAGTTAAAAGTGTCTTATAATAAAAATAGGAGGGAGTACACATTAGCTTTTCTTTCTTTTTTTCCCCGAAGAAAAAATACACATCTGCAGTAACTAACACGTCATCATATAATTAACAGTGCTATTGTCCATATCAATATAATTAACATCATTAATGTCACGTCAGCACCCCTCTAAAAGTGTAAGGACCTAAAATGTAAATAGAAAAAATTATAGAGACTTCAAATATTAAAAATAAAGTGTAGAAACTAATAAAAAATCACATGCAAAGCGTAGGGATTAAAAGTTATGTTTTTCTTATATAAAAACTTGGAAAAACCAAAAAACAAAAATACTTCCTAACATTTTTTAAGGGGTTAAATATTTAAAAGTATAAAAAAATTTTAATATTTCAAAGTGTAATTAATGTTTTTTAAAATTTTCATAATAAATAAATCACTTTATATTTATTTTAAAGTAAAACACCTTATTAAATAAAAATGTATATAGAAATATGTTGTTAGTTTGAAGGCAATTAACTATTCTATTGAGAAGTAAAATTTAACTAAAAATATTTTATACTTTTTAACTGAGTACAGTATGCAAGTAACTCCCATCAATATAATCTCTTTCATCATCTTAATCCATGTATCGTTAAGAACTTCATATATAATGTAGTCTGAATTCAACGAAAACATGGGCTTCACTAATTAATCATAAATCCATGATCGCCGTTTCCATTAAAAATATATAAATATTGTTGGCTTTTGTTGACAACCGTATATTTCTCTTATAAATGTTTTTATGATCTCTTTCAAAGTGAGAGTCTATGAAGGATATGCATTATGTTCATCGCTTAGTGGTCTGCATGACTATGTAATGATGTGCTCAAATTTCATAATTTTTATACCCCTTCGAATTATAATATAGATCATTATTAATTAATTTATATTTTTTAAAAAAATTTAATTAATATCTTGATTTAAAAAAAATTCACATCTTTTGAATTATACTTCTAAATATATAGTAACTATTACATTTGACTCATTTAAAATATCTTTATTAATTACTCAATAAAGTACAAATGTAATTGAAAAAACATATATAGTACGTATCCAATATCTTATATTTTGAATTAAATAAAATTTTTAAAAAATAACTTATATTATGGTTCTTTTTTTTTTTTGGACCCAGACAAGTGCATAGGCAAGAACACAACGTGTTGCGCTTTACCATATACTCTAAGGCTTTGTTTGGTATGATTGAATAGTTTTTAATGGAATCAAAATTGAACTCGGAATTGAAATCAGAATTGAAATAGAAATGAATTACAAAAATATGTTTGGTATGTCAGAAAAATTAGATGGAATCCTTACATTACTTTTATTTGGTACGTAAGACATGAAAATGAAATTATACTTAAAAGACAAAAATACTCCTATATAAAAATTAAAATAAAACATAATAAAAGCTTAATTGTGTTTCAATTTCTTTATGTATTTTATATGTTAATGAAATATTATATAGATGATAGATATTATTTATAAGTAAAATATTTTACAAAAAAAAATATTTTAATTTCCTCATATGTTTAGTATATAAATAAAATATTAATTTTCACATTTTAATTTTCAGATTGCATCGGTCGTCGTCCGTCGTCCTTCTTGTTGTCGATCTTCCCACTGCTCTCTCGTCTTTGCTTGGTCTGCCACGCCTAATGATCATTTTTAGGTGTGGTTGGGGTTATATGTTTTTAGGGCAAAATTGTCTTTTTAAAACTTTTATGAAGGTAAAAGTGTCTTAAAAGTCACAATTCTATGAAATTACCCTTGATTCCATGACTTTAAACAAAAAATCGAATTCAATCTATTTTTATGGAATCAGAATTCTCGAAAATTATGATTCATATCTACCAAACATCACTTTATTCAAATTTTTATCCCAATTTCATTTCCATCTCTACAATTTCAACCTACCAAACATGGCCTAAAACACAAGTACTAGCTTGTATCCACATATACTCACTGGTGTTTTGCCTTCTCCAATAGATTGCAAAACCTTCATGGAAATGTTCCAAAAGATTGCTGAATTGCTGATCTGATATCCTTGAGAACTTGAATATTGACTAGAATTTGCAGAAGCATGAAAGATTAAGAGCATATAACGACGCAGAGAAGAAAGAACCAGAAGGATCAAAGACACTGAGAAGAAATAGTGAAATACTGTTTACTAGCAGCATAAACCATCTTATACCCGTTTGGCACAGACAATTGTTTTTACATATCATTGTTTTGCATAGAAGTACAAGTGAAATATAAAAATATATTTTTTATGTAAAGGGAAGTTAAATAATTTTTTAAATATTATATTTATATTTTAAAAAGACTAAAATATCTTTAAAAAAAAATGAAAAATCCCATTGAGCACATCTGAAGCTCCATTCCTCCAATTTCTCTAACAATCACTCTCAATTGTATTGGAAGTGAGATGGATGGTGGGTTGGGATCGATGGGTCTAGGTCTAAAGAAAAAGAAGAAGATAGGTGGCCATTGAAGCTATGTGTTTGCGTTTGATGGGTCTCGTCTGGGGTTCGTAAAAGTAGCAGCTTGGCAGACATTAACCAAATCCGTGAAAAGTCTTTTGCAAAATAATATTCAATCTAAGGCATCAACTTCAATCCAACTAATATCCAATCCGTTATTAAAGCGATCCCAACCCCACACATGAAATCGGAGCCAAACCTTCGAGCATCAATTCGAATCAGGTCAAGACGCTATTTGAGAAATCAGAGCAACGGTTGCTGTGCCTAGTGGAGGACCATCGCTGTCATTGCTAGCAAAGGATTGTCACCATAGTTGCTTGCGGAGGACCGTTGCTCTTGCTGGGTGAGTCAATGAAAAGCTAGCAAAAGCATGGCAGAGGGAAAGAGAAGGTGGGGGTAAAGGGGTAAATGGAAGTCAGTTCCATGGGTTGAGGGATGGAACCACTTTCATCGATTTTGATGGAATTGGATTTCACTTAACATAACAACCAGCTTTCGTGCTACCAAACAGGCAAAAATTAGTTCCACTTTCACTTTCCCTTTCCTCTGCCTAATTCCTTGCTATCAAACAGCCTATTACGTTTCAATTTTTACTAAATACATGTGACTGTATTGATTTTCATGGTTATTTAACGCTTTAGATTTGTTTTTGTGTACTTGAAATCAATCCAGCAACCTCTTTTTAGGGGGAAAATGTTATAGTTACTGTCGTTCTTTGGTTGATTGTTATTAGTTATAATTACATATTTTCTCAGTTATGAACATTTTTTAACAATAATTAGCATATCAATAAAATTTTTATTCTTATGAAAATATATATTATTTATCCTTTTTATCCTTAGTTTCAATTTATAAAGAGTGAAAAGATAATAAATTTACAAACACAATAAACTAAGTTAATAAATACAAAAGATAAAATAGAAAATACTTTTTTACAAATAATAAGGTGTTTATTTTTTGAATCAGGATTAGTTAAGAAACATGCTGACATTTTAAACAGGAGGAATTATTAGTTATTCGTTAAATTCTGTTATTACACCTATAACTTTTGTAATAAAAAAAAAAGGACAAAACTTGAGTGAATGAGTGAGCATTAAATAAATGGTTAAAGTTTATTTTTGACATTGAAATATATCCTCAAAAACAACCAATATCACAAACTTAAATTTAGTATATTATTTTTCTTAAACTTTAAAGAACGGGACATTCTTGCCCCTGCACCTTTCCTTGGCTTTAACACGAGATATTACACAATCCAATGCCCAACTTTTTCTCCTGTAAAAGCATCTTGAAGTTGATTTGGAGTTTGGATGTTGAGGTTCTTAGATCCTATTTAGTGGTGTGATCTTTTCAAAGAAATAAGAGTAGAATTAATCATTTATTATTATTTTTCTTGGTAAGAAGAATTAATCATTTACTTTGTTTCCTGTGCGTGTTTGGAAAAATTCACAATTTCTTCGTGGGCATGTTTTGATTTCTGTTTTTTTTCCCCCTTGAAATAGTTTTTTGTGTTAATGAGGTTCACAAATCTTGATCCCAAGATCCAAATCTATATATAAATAATTAAAACAAAGTCCACATCACTTCCATCACTTTTTTTAAAAAAAATTATAAACCAGTTAATTTTCGATCCCTAAACTGAAAACTCTCTCAATTGATAGTTACTACTGGATTATTTAAAAAACTATTAAGACTAAATTGTAAAGTCAAAAGACTACACCGATTAAGCCGGTCCGAGTGAAAAAGTTGAAGGGACTAAATTGTTTCAAAGTTAAAGATTACGGACTAAATTGATAATTAAAAAAATAATAATAAAAATCAAAACAAATATTTCCCTACTTCTTATTCCATAAAAGAGTTTGAACTTCGTATCTATACCACTTATTTCTTCGATTCAATATTCCAAACGATACACCTAACATTGTCATTGCAGGATCATTTCTACAAACAATACACGCGCACACGGGTAAGTGGCTTGCTAGCGCTAATTCATGACACCGCAAAAGCCATTCGCGCATCCATTTATTTCCGACCAACAAATTTCCCAGATCCACAAGCCAGAAAAGAAACGCTTGGTTCAAGAGTCTCAGGCCTTAAGAGAGCACAAGTAAACAGCAAAATGATAACCAAGGAAAGAAAGCATGATATTTTTGCAGCAAGGTCAACATAATTTATTTCACCAGAGTTCCTTCGGTATTTTCAGCCATGGCCCATCATTTCAACCTGTTTTCCAATCAAACATCCGAGCAACCCCAATGCAATTTCCAGCAAATTGGTTACCCATCACAGGTAGATAATGAAGATACAACCCCACCCCACGCCTTGTATATAATAGTAAAGGGTGTACATGGGGAATTGGGAATCAGATTTGCAGCTAAATCTGTACATTCTAACCACTACTGTATTCCTCCTACCAACCACACATAGAAACAAAATAAGCTGCCCTGTCAAGAGAAAAAAGAAAAAAGACAGAAGACACTAGGAACAAATCAACCCTGTGTTTTTCATGATACACAAAGGGGCTTGGTTGCATAAGTAATAGAGTGCTGCACACGGGTGTGGCAAAAGAAGCAAGGACGAGTTTGGACATCCGCTTTAGAAGCCACCCGCAGTTCCCTGGCTTTCGGCTTTGGATTGTTTGTGTGCTTGGAACAGATGCAAGGTTTTCCTGATGATATCTGTTGATGTGGACGGATTTTGCACCCAACATACATGATCATTAGGTGAGGTTGTCATATAGTCGTGCATCAACTCAGTACTGTCTCGGAGTTCACATGACCACTACTACTGCTTCCGGCATTACTGTTAAGTTCAACCACAGGTACAGAGCGCTGCGCAAAGTCTAGTAACAACTTCCTTTGGTGGTCATCTGTATGAGGAAGACTTGCACGCAAGAGCTCAACTGGCATTTCTCGACTAATAGCTTTGGCAGCATCAGCATTAATGACAGCCATGTTCGATGTGCCTTGCTTAAGCAAGGATTGCATGATACTATGATATTTATTCATGCAATACTTTGTTAGAAGACCGAAGAATTCATCAAAGGAGCCCTGCCAAAATGAACGATTAGCTATATTATAGTTGCAGGCAGCATGAGGATCGGTTAGAAGTTCAGTAGCCTTCTCAAGAACAGATACTAAGACAACAGATGCACCATCTCCAGCAGCACTTCCAAGAGGGCGCAGAGGGGGCTGCTCTGAGGAACAAACCACAGCTGCAAGACAAGCACTGAGAGCACCAAGGTCCATCCCTCGGACACACTGGGAAACAATCTTAGCAAGGTTAACTGTTGTTTCTGCAGCTCCCGAATCAGAGGGGAGGCCACCAAATAAGAGTCTTAAATGACGAAAGACAGCCATGCAGACTATTCGCATAAGGTCACTACCAGGAAGAAGCAACTGAAGATACCTTGCCAGAAGCTTACGTCCCTTGGGAAGAGATACTAAACGTAAGAAAACAAGGTCATCCTTGGCAGCAAGACCAACTTTGTGTCCATTCTTTCCCAGCGGGTCAACTAACTGAAGAGAAGTTGCTAATCCTTCCAACAGGACCTGCCGCCTCACTCTTAATTGGGTGCCACCATCTTGTATCTGATTGGCCTGCAAGAAACGATCAATATCATCTATATCAAGAAGAAGACATAGACCATCCTCAATTGTGACCCTGGCTGCAAACATAGGCTCTTGTTCAAGTGGCTTCTCAAAATTGTTTTGCTCAGTGCTACTAGTACCAGAAGAGTTTGGGGGATCAACCTCAAGGAGAGGACGAGGCCGACGTATAGATGAGAATGAAACCCTCCCTAAAGCATCAACCTGAAGAAAAGCATGGGGCTCAGAATTAGACCGGGATCGTGCAGGAAGTTCCCTTATTTGGGTTGGACAAAATGGATGTTTCAACTTAGAAATGGAAGATTTTTTAGCAAGACAAGCTTGGTGATAATAGTCGTCTACATATGGATCATTACTATGTGTCACCGCAAGCTGCATTTTGAGAATACTCTCAATTTCATCACTTGTCATATACTTGGACCGAAACTGCAGTGACCCACTATCACTCTTCTGGCTAGTGATATCGGAACCCTGTTGAGAGAAGCGAGTATTATGTCTACTTTTATGAGTTGATTTTGGTCTATGATCTCTAACATCAGCCAGACCAAGCATATGATCATATTTGCTCATCACAGATGAGCCAGAAGAAAGATGAGGATTAAGTAAATGGGACCGGAAACCTGAAAGGTATGCTGATTGCTGAGCAGGATGATGCAGTCTATGCTGCTGTTGCTGCAACTGACTCATTAAGTTAGGAGATATAGGTCCATTATGAAGATGCAATTGTTGCTGCAGCATGTTACCTAGAAGGTTTGAATGATCTCCAGGATATAACCCTGCATGATTGATCCATTGATTTTGCATGCGATGATTAAGAGTAGAGCCAGTAGTAAACTGCCGCATATTTCCACTAAAATGAGACCCATGGTTTAATCCACTCAAATGAAGTGCAGAATTGGAATAATGAGAACGACTTTGTGAAGATAATGCCATCTGAGTTCCTCCAGTCTGATAAGGAATTATCAAGCTACTTGTACCATGATTTGGAGAAGGTTGTGGTGACTTACCACCAGGGGGAGGATAAGAAGTAAAAGATGACTTTGGGACAAAAGTTGGTTCGCTGGAGAAATGGGGAAATTGCTGTCGCTGATCAGGATAGGAAGACGTTCTGTACAAGGAGGATTGCGGCTGTGATGACCATCGTTTACCATCCTGAGCAGCTTCAACATCAAACATACGCTGATCAAACCAGTTCACTGGTTCACTAGAGTGATGTTGGAGGGGGTAGGGCTGCTGTTGCCGTAGCTGTTCAGGGTATGAAGATGTTCTGTACAAGGGCTTTGGTTCTTCATGAGAGAGAGTAGAATGGAGCCCTTCACTGTTAAAAGCATGCTGGTCAAACCAGTTGGGAACATCATCCCTCAGTGCCCAGTCAGAAGCAGAAGAACCTGGATAAAATATGCAGGTATCAACAATTCAGTCAAATTGGAAAAGTGCATGTAGATAAACAATGGCAATATACTCATCATGCTGCCAAAACAGTTACTTAACACATGAAAGTCATATTCATCACAAGAATCCAAAATATGATCCACTAAACAATCGGACATCTCCCTGACAGGTGTATGGCTTTATGGAGGCACACCATTCACACTTTCTGATTTCTGTGGAGGTGCCCGCAGTCACAAAACAAGTTTATCCCCAATTCACAAGGCTGAATGTTTGATAACTATCATGACTCTCCAAACCATCAGAAACTTGGAGTTCCCAAAAGAAACGTATTTACAAATAATAACACACTAAACCCCCCCCAAAAGAAAAAAAAAACAAAACAAAAGAAAGGGGGCCTAGGGAACCCCAACACATTCACCAAGACACTGATATTTCTTGAGTTTGTTTCCCCCATTTCAAGGTAGGGTAAGTTCTAGCACTTAATGACTATCACATGATGAATAAATTGGTAGCAAAAACTCCCATCCGTCCCACATTTGTATGAAACATTCAGATGCATGTCATTACAAGTTTTATATCTATGTAAAACATAAAAGCAAGGATGGCAATGGTCCATAAGATTATCTGTCCAATCTGCCACTAACAATTAGATCAATTGATCAGGTGAAATTGGATCAATTTTTTATCGGACAGATGATGGATATCCAATGGTTATAAAAATCAATCAGATATTTTAAGATTAGTAGATGATCCATGTTTCTTCTTTTGCTAAACTATCCATTTATCCCTCCATTGACCATCAACCATCATCCTTACTTTCTGGCAGCAAAATTAGAATTCCCAGTTACCATTCACAGCTGCAATTATATCAAGTTTTTTAGTCTTTTAGCATAATTAGTCTCACTCTCTTTAAGACACCTTTAATTGATACCCTTTCTGTACAGCTTTTGAATCAATCAGCCAAAAATTACTTCAACCTTCATAGAGCCAACTTTATATTTCCACTCACAGAACAATCATGAGACATCAGTTGTAATCCATGACAAACCTCTACAATACTAATTATAATAAATTAACTGAAATAATATCCATCATCAAATGCATATGAAACACATCCTCGTTGTAAATTTTTCCCTCTTTTAAATGTCACCCAGCAACTTCTGGCAATTTGACATATTTGCCTAATTTCCTAATTGGTAATCAACCTAAAATTATAGCATGCCACAATAAATATTCTTACTATGAAGCAACAAATATCAACAAGGACAATAGCATTATCAATGCAATTCTCACAACAAATCATAGGTAAAATTGCCTACATACATCAATATATTTTCTTTCTTAATCAGAAGATGGTAAACGAAATGAATAATAAAAAAAAATGTTAAAGGAAAAAACATATAAATTAATATTTTCAACCGAACCATTTTTTTTAATTTAAAGACTGCTTTCCTACAATGCATGGACCACTAATACAAATCATGGAACTATGGGTTGGCAAATAATCTACAAACAGGAGAATTCCTAATGTTTTATTGAAACATTGCTTTCTTACAATTCATAGCAAAATGATGCCTTGGTAACTAATGGGTGAAAAGTAACTTGCAGTCAAGAATCTACAATCATAGTTGCACATAAAACCGTTATGCATTGCAGAAAAAACTAGCACGCAAATGTTGGCATCAGAATATAATGAAAGAACTTTACTACAAATGTTAAATAAATGATTAAAGAAGACAAGTTCCATTTTTCAGATAAAAGAAGCAATATGAAAAATTATGGTTTTGCAAATAATTAAATTTGCACAAATGCTCTACTCACTTTCTCTTGATCCCCGTTCACCAATAACACCAGGATATCTTGGCCCACTAACAGCCTTGTTCAACTGAAATCAAAGAAAAATAATATTCTTATCAATTCGCACAGATCGGAATACATGGCAGGACCATGATCAATATAACAGAAAAGAGAAATATAAATATGAGCATAACTGGAGTATTTGTCAAGAAAAAGATCAAACCACTGTCTCAATTGTTGGGAGAACTCATTACCTGCTTCCAATTTATTTGCCAAAGGAAGCAAGCTGATCATCTAATTTATGCCTCTTAACTAAGTCTCATTCTTTTTTTTCCCCTCATTTAATTCTCATGAATGCAATGACATGTCCACTGTCAATGGTGAACATGAATGGATCATCAAAAAGAGAGAGCCCGCTACCAGAAACTATTAAAAAAGAATCAGGATGGAATCATGCATGCATTGCACACTATCTTTTCCTCCTTATTTTTCTTTTTCTTGAGATGGGATTGGCAGGTTCATTGTCAACGTGAACTGATCTGCCAACTAGAGAATACAAGTTACCAGCAAAGCTAAAAGGAAAACAGAAAATCCATGCATGCACACTGTACTGATAAGTTTAATTGCTCCAAATTTCAGCAGAGATGACATATTCATTGGAGACTGCTTTCATTTAGTATAACAAGAAGTTCAATAAACAAAGCATAGGCTGTGATAAATCCCTACCTACGAACAGTTTTCAGAATCCAAGGTCATCATGGTCTATTATCCCTAGATATACAGTTCTATATCAAAGTTTTGTAGCACGCTACCACAAAATCAGCAATAAGATTGATTTGCTTGTTTCATACTGACCCCAAAGTGGAAAACAGATAAGCCACCACTTCACCAAACACAGAATAATTCTGACTGCAATCATTTTTGTCTATGCAGCCTTCTCAAACTACGAAATCTGAAAGCTTATTACCAAGGGGAGAAAAACCTAATCGCTGCCAACTTTCTATGAAGATACAGGATAATCATTGCAAAGCACACACAGAGATCATTCATGGAGAAAGCAAGGCATTTGGTTTCAACGCCATAAAACACAATGAGAGCCACCAGTTTTAATGATTTCTTTTCCAACCTGCTCTTTCTTTTCCTTTTTCATATTATAAATACTGAATTACAGATTATTAATATCATTATCAGCTAGCATAAATAACAAAAGTCGTAAAACAAGTTTAACTGCATAACCGAGATCTTCCTTTTTCTTTATTTTTCATCCCATACGTAGTTATTAGTGATAATTCTTATCAACAAGCAGAAATGTCAAGAAAACATAACAGGTTGAACTGCGTCACAAAACAATACAAAACTACATCATTATTATTCTTTTTTTTCCCTCTTATATCCCTAAGACCATGAACATCAAGTGTAAAAAATAATCTCTAAGCCCTTTTTCCACCGCTTCTATCAAGTATTCAATCCTGCGCAGTGTCAACTCATAATTTATACATGTTATTTGTAACATCAACATCTAGCCACGGTATTCGATATATATAAATGATGGTTTCAGTCTTGCAAAAAAGAAGAATTTGGTCTCGAGGAAGGAGATCCTGCCATGCATGTAAAGAAGCAGATACGAACAGCATGTCTACTGCATATAAGATAAAACAGCCTACATAGTACAACTCTAACTTCTCAAACTAAGAAATTTGCAATTGCTCGATTAATATCCTGAGTCCTGACCAAATAGCATAAATGCCCTAAAATGAAAAAGGATACTACTCAAAATGATGATGATGATCCACTCAGCCAAGAAAAGAATCCTTGGAGTTGGTAGCTTTAATTAATTTAAAATCCTTTTTTTCTATCATAATTAAAAGAATCCTAACCCAATATTCACAAGATGCTGAGAGACTAAACCAAGCCACTGGCCACCTTCAACAGTTCAACGCAGAAAAAGTAGAAAAATTTATGAGTTGTGAAAATAGAAAAGGAAGCTGTAGGTTTACTGGTTCAGCAATATGTAGCCAACCCCATCCAGATCACAGAACATCAAAGCACAAATTCAGAATATAATGGTTTCCTACGTGAGGAATGCATGCAAATTAAAAAGTGATCATGATTTACAATAGTCAGCCACTCATTCAATTAAATATCAAGCATTTAGAGACTGCATTATATATTTGTTTAACATCCTTACCTTCAAAAAAGTGGTAGTGAGATCATCAATATCTGAAAGAGATCTTACATCCTCAGCCTGCAATGTGAAAGGAAAAGTTATTTGACAACAGTTTTAACAATGGCCGGTAAAATTGATGGATCAAATAATTATAGACCAAGAGAGCACTTTGTTGCCAGTCATCATAGCAGACATAACATATACTTCTTTATAGATTATGAAAACACACTGAAATCAAGAATTTAACTTGATTAAGTCCAGGTTTTACAAGAATTTTCTGGCAATGATCAATTGATATGGCACCCCCAAAACAGTCTGATACAAATGCCGAAGTGTTGGAAAGACATATGAATGGGGAGATGCGTTGAAACAGCAGCAAAGCAACTTGGGTGACAAACGAACCATATTTGCCCGACAATCATATTATTTTCATTAAAGATCATTTAAAGAAAAATAGGCCATATGCTCACGGGACACTGGCCTATTGAAACTTTACCAGTAACCAAAAAAGATTCACTTTTAATTTTGAGCTCATTGTCATCTACTTTGCTTACAAGGTCATATTTTGTCTATCTTGTATAAAAGGACTCCAAGAATCAGAAATAGATTAGCATGAAATCCCACCCCACATAATAAAAAGAAACATCTAAAAACATGCCCCAGATTGTGCCATAGAAAATGAATCATCAAGACTAACAGACGCTTCAAAATACCATTATTAGTTCTCAAAGTCTAGTTGGCTCCCTCCCCTAAAATGGTGAACCAAATCACTAACCCAACCCTTCGGCAATAGATGAGGATCAAATATCCTAAGGAATTAAAAAAAAAAAAAAGAGGCACTTAATAATTAATATTAGAAACCCCATGTCTAACGAAATATAGCAAGGATCTCTAATAACAACTCTGACATCTAACCAACTCATTGCTTGAATTTCACTTCCTCTACTCACGATTTGGGAGAGAAAAACCTAAAGTTTGTGTCACCCTCTTGAAAGTTGAAAATTCAAAAGAAAATTGTTTACTTGAGCAGGGAGAGACAATGTCAGAATATGAAAACATACGTGAAACATATATGCACTAGTAAATTGACACAGATAAAACAAAAGAAAGTTAAGAAGATTGCGTTCAATGATTTGTCTTGAGAAAACCAGGATCATTTTCACTTTTCGGGAGTTTTGGAGGAGCAAAGTAGGACATGATGGGGACAACAGGATAAAAGACTAATCCCACGTAAGGCCTGTGGCTTAACAAGAGAGCAGTTTATAAAATTTGAAAAATCCCATAAAGGAAGAAAAATGAGGTGCTTCATTTCACCAGTGAAATGATCTTAACACAAGATTCTAAATTAAAAGTAAAAGCTCAACATGCTTGCATTTCAAAAAATTTAGCCACTAGAAATTCAAAATAATGGAAATTCTGTAAGGCTGAAAGCTAACCTCTTCTTTATTAATATTAAAGAAGAACTCCTCCTCGTTAAGATCAACACCCAGCAAACCATTATCTTCATCTTCTAACCCCCCTAACTCAACCTCCTCAACTACATTTTTACCAAAGAATGCATATTGTGATGCATCAAATACTGCACCTCCTGCAAAACAGAAGAATTTTCCGTTTAAGACCGCCCAGCTGGTTTTATATAACAGCTCAACATAAAAAAGTACAGGTTACACATATAACAGAATTCCCTTACACAAGAGCTGCCAAAAACCAAAAAAAACAAAAACAAAAACAGATATATATATATATATATAGAGAGAGAGAGAGAGAGAGTTTACACCAGGATGATGAATCATATCACCTTTCAATGGGTGAAGCTAAAACAAAACACAAAGGGGTTTAATTTTGAAAGCAAGTATAGTCATAAAGTCAAGCATGTCCTTTAACTCAAAATTAATGTGAAAAATATTTCACAACGAATCAATGAAATCAAGCAAGATTACTACAAACCCACCAATATTGACATCGGTCTTGTGGCACATTAAAACATCCGGGATTATCAACCAGAGTGAACAACAAATTATACAATCATATAAGCCAAAAGAAAAAGAAGGCAATCGGCAGTGTCAGTATACACTGTATTTGTTAGCTGCAGCAGCCACCAATAGCATATACTAGACAGCAACGATTAAAAGTTATAAACCAACTCTAGCTCAGGCTTTGGTTCAGTTACTTTCCAGGCAATGAAATAAATGCTAGTGGTGCCACCGACCGCAACTGTATTAAACAAAAAGAGATACCTAGAAGTGCAAAATACATAATTATACCTTCTAGACTAATTCATATTCCCAGTTTCCTACAATTCAAATCACTGGCTGACTTGAACCAGATCTATGTGAATAAGGTGAGCAATAAAAAACCTGGGACACCAATCTTCAGTAAAGAAAAGAAAGAAAGAAGCAAGCAAGATAAAAAAGGAGAAGCAAACCTGTGGGAACATCTCCCAATTGCTCAAGACCCGCCGGGTTGGGAGCATCTTGAATATCACCCCCAGCACCAAGCCCATCCATATCTATAAGTAGTATAGCATAAAAACGATGACGGGAAGATCCAGAAAAAGAAAAGCGCAAAAGATCAACAAGCAAAGAAAAAGGAATGCTAAAAAGGAAAACTTGATACAAAAAGATAAAATCTTGAATAGCTCAAAATGATTTAGCTAAAATGGCGAGGAAGGAAAGAGGAAAGGAAGATCTGGACGAAGAATTGAGTACATTAGTTCATGGCAGAGATCTGTCCCACCGGGAGGATTAGAAAATGGGTTGGATTTGGAGCAGAGAGAAAAAGAGCGGAGGATTGGAGAGGAACCCTACGAAAGCAGATGTTGAAATTGATCGTAATTTATTAGCCGAGTGAATTATGGAGGAGGTCGCGTGCCCAGCTTCATTTTCCCCTCACCGGGCATTTGCAAATTCTTGTGGGGGTAACTTGTAAATTCACATCTTGAGTTTTGCAAACGTGAAGCAAGATTTTCATGGGAAAAGGATCAATTTTTGTTGCAAGGACAGGGGGAACTAATAATATCACAATCCTTATGGTTTAAATTTTGTCATTTTTTTATTAAACACAATTATCTTTCTATTAGATATAATCATATTTAAGATATTATTAGTATTGCTCTGTTGTCCTAAAAAATTTTAGAACAGAAGAGCAATATTAATATCAAAATCTTATACTTAAATAATTATAATTTCTTTCACTAAAATCAAAACCTAGTAATATTTTGTTTTAGTTTTATTTAAACAAGAAGTATGAGACGAATGATCAACTAATTATCAATCAAATGCAATCATTATCAATCAAAACATGGCTTAGTTTATTATTTATTTACTTATCATTCAATATCAGTGAAATACATGCTTCATTTTTATTAGAATTATAAAGATTTCTTTTTTTAGGTAGAATATTAAAAAATTTTATCTTTAAAACTTACACTTTTTAATATGATTTTTTAATACATCAATTACTTTTTTATATCTTTTTTTTTTTAAGTTTAAGAGTAAGCTTCACCAATAGCAAAAGTTAACTCTTTTAAAATACTGAAAATAAATGATAAACTTCTATCAACCAAATTATTATATACACAAAGGTTAAGATTCAAATCTCACTTGAATGCCAAAAGCACCAATCACTTATACTGATTTTAATTAGTTAATACTTTTTATTGTTAAATGGGATGTAAAAAAAAACATTTTTATCTATTAATAAATTTTAACTATATTTATTTTTTTCAGCTCAGTTATATTTCAAATCAAATGTTGTAAAATAAATCATATTGTTGCCAACAAATTTAGCCTCCATGAAAAATTCCTAAGAATCTAATTTAGAGTTCTCGAGTTCGAGATCAAGCAAAAAAATAATAATAAAATCATATTATTTATAATTTATATGTAGTACTTCTAAAAAATTTGTTCATAAACATTCTAGCTTTCAATGAATTTCCTTTTACACAATTTCTCCTTTTATACCACAATATAAGCCATTTTTAAAAGAATTTATTGATTTAAAATATAAGACATTAGATAAATTTTATATTTTTTATCATTTATATCCTTGATTTGTTTTTTATTCATTATCTTCAAACGTTTCATATTTAAAAATTATGCAGGATACTAAAAAAATAAGAGTATAAATATAAAAATATGATTTTTTTTTTAAAATTCAACTAACATTTTGTATGAAATATAAATTAGTTATCAATAATATATATTTTGTGATTCAGAAGAGCGCACACACGGATGATATCCAGAGTTTCATGCAGATTTGAGGTAGCCAAAATTACCCATTCAACCTCGCATAACTTCTATTCCCGCTCTTGGCATATTCTCCCCAGTGCGTTTTATCCCAATAAATTAGTTTATTTTCACACCGAATTTTTAAATTTGCAATCCCAAGCTATCGTTTCTCCGACTGCCGCGTGTCCTAAGTTTTTTGTATTATTTTATTGAATCGTTCTTATCCATTAAGCACTGCAATTGGTACAAATCTCCTTGTTAAGTTCCAACAACAACAGATCACTACTAAAATACATATATGAGATTCAATAAGCATCATTTAATCATTTAAATATATAAAAATCACTTAAAATTTGTAAGGCTTAATTTTAAAATCTTATGGTTGGCCGAAAGCCAATTATAACTCTTGCATATTTTGAGTTTCTTCTTTTTAAAATGGACTTAAAGTAAAAGGATGAATTAAAAAAATTCAAATTTCAATAACGTGTGCACATGTGTGTATGTTGTGGGACTCCAGGTGTGTAGATCGACTTGATATTTAGAATATCTCAATTCATTGCACTCTCAATAAGTTAGAATACAAATTAAAGAAAATGAGCTAGCGAAGGTGAGCATGAAAGAAATATTACTAATAATAATTGGGTTGAATGAAGATAATGTATACTCTTTAAATAAGATCACGTATTCAAAATTTATTAATAGAAAATCGAAAAAGCTACTCTCACATAGCTCTGATAATGCTTTATTATAATTCACATATAATTGAAAATACATATTACTAAAATATTATATATTAAAACGTAGTTAGACTGCAATCTTTATTACATTACTTTTATTATGACATATAAACCCAGCGTTGAAGTTGAAACTTAATTGGTTAATGTCAAAGTGTGTTGCTCTTACTCTTTAGGAAAGGTTTTCAGACAATTTATTTTACTTTAAATTTTCAATAGTAATATTTCTCTTTCGTTACTTATACTTCAATTTTGCGGCTCATGTTTTCAAAGCCTCATGGAACTTTCCAACATGTGCGTGTATTTCAAATACGAAGATCCAAGATTCTAGCCATAAAAGTAAGGACTTTGACTACCCAATTGCAAAAAGTGTAAGCTTTTGAAGACATTGCACGTAAACGTTAGTCAACATTTATAAATAAATAAATAAAACCATGAGATGAGCTTGAGTTGACCAGTTCTTGAGAGCGAATACTGAATAGACTGTCATTTACCCCCCAAAAAAAAAACAATAAATAAATAAAAAGAAGCAATATATCTGCTTTACCAGCCACATGTTCCGATTGAGAAGTTTAAATGACGACTTGTGAGTTGACAGGGGATGAAATTTACTAACAAGTTATTAATTCATGAATTATGATAAGAACACGTTCATAAGGTGTTCCTGCATCTGGATCCATTGGATTTTGGACTAAAATTTAATCAAACCGACCTAGTCATTTATGTGGACAGAACCTGATTCGATTTCGGACCTTGATTAGCCACTTGGCCTGATTTAATTTCAATCGGATTTGGTTCATTTTTCGTAAGGTATCTATTTATTTTTAACAAATTCAAAATAATTTGGACATCATTTCACCTCAGTCCTCACTACAAGGCTAAGAACATCAATCACAAGAACATGTAAGTGGGGAAAAAACTCTTAAGCAACATACCTTCCATACTAAAAAGTCAAATCAAGGGAAACCTTCAACCAAATTAATTATATTGATCTTGACACGTAAGAAACCAATTTTGGCTTTATTTAAAGTTGTGATCAATTCCAATCACATCTAGAAGACCTAATACTTTAAAATATTTTCCTTATAAAAAACTGTGAAGTAGATTTGAAGTCAATACCAAACAACGTGCACTAGCAATCCAAAGGAAATCACATTCTTGAAATCCATGCAATAAAATGTCAGAACTAAGTGATCAGATCTTCAATAAAGGTCAGGAACAAACCAGAACAACTTCAAAAGTTATATTTGGTATAGTTTTGATTTGATGACCCCAAATACACACAATAATGTTCACAGCTGACAAAGGTAAAAAACGGGTGAGACTACATCAAGATATTGCAGGAAAAAAAAAAGAAGACAGGAAGACAGATCAATGTGATCAGATCAAGAAAGAATTGGTGGGAAGAAGAAAATAATAAATGCATCAAATTGTGAACCCAAGTTTAAAACAGTAAATTCTTTGCCACAGCATTCATCGGCAGTTCAGAACAGCTTGCCATGCCAACCTGTCATCTGGTTGTAATTGTGCACCCAAAAAGCCGCTTCAATTAGAAGGAAGGGTTTCCTAACAGTAAGGCATTCATGCAACTAATCCCATGCCTTTGTATGATAATAGTAAAGGAACATGGGAATCCAACTTTATAAGCCTAAAACTTGTACATATTAACCATTACTGTACTCTAAAAACCGGAGTAAAAAAAATAACCTCCCCTGTCGAGAGAAAAATAAAAGACAAGAGAAACAAATCAAGCCAACTCTATGATACAGATGGGCATGACTGCAAACTATCACAATGCTCCATCGAATTCTGTCAATATAACAAAATAAGAGGCTAAAGTTTCCATAATAGATGCAATTAATGCTCCCACCACATCAGACTGCTATAGAAGTACCTAAAAAGAGAGATCCTCCCTATGACACTTACTGCCACGTTTTAATTCAAAATGATGCTCCTTATTTGAATGTCCAAGTACATTATTAGTTCAGCACTCACTCTGAGTGCACATGATCACTGCCACCACCAGAATTATTATTAAATCCAGCAACAGGCACGGAGCGTTGGGCGAAATCAAGTAATAGCTTTTTCTGGTGATCGTTGGTGTGAGGAAGACTAGCACGCAAGAGCTCAACAGGCATTTCCCTGCTAATGGTTCTGGCAGCATCGGACCCAATGGCAGCCATATCTGATGCCCCTTGCACCAGCAATGACTGCACAATACTATCATATTTGTTCACACAATACTTAGTAAGAAGAGAAAAGAATTCGTCAAATGAGACCTGCCAAAGCGACCGATTACCCATACTACAGTTGCTGGCAGCATGACGATCAGTTAAAATTTCAGTGGCCCTCTCAAGCAAAGATACTAAAATTAAGGAAGCCCCGTCTCCAGCAGGGCTTCCCAGGGGACGTAGAGGGGGCTGCTCTGAGGAACAAACTACTGCTGCAAGACAAGCACTAAGTCCTCCAAGATCCATTCCACGGACACACATTGAAACAATCTTGGCAAGGTTGCTTACATTTTCTGCTGCAGCTGGGTCAGAGGGATAACAACCAAATAAAGACCTTAAATGACGAAAGATGGCCATGCAGACTATCCGCATAAGCTCACCACCTGGAAAAAGACATTTAAGGTACCTAGCAAGAAGCTTCCATCCCTTGGGTAAGGAAACTATCCTCAGGAAAACAAAATCATCTTTTGCAGCAAGCCCAACTGCATTCCCATTCTTTCCTAGTGGATCAACTAATTGAAGTGAGGCAGCAAGTCCTTCCAACAGAGCCTGTCGACGCTGCTTCAACTGAATACCACCATCTTGGAGCTGATTAAACTGTAGGAAACGATCAATATCATCTACATCAAGAAGAAGACATACACCATCCTCAATGGTAACCCTAGCTGCAAGCATCGGCTCCTGCTCGAGCGGTTTCTCTGGAATGTTTTGCTCAGTGCTATTAGCAGAAGAATTTGGAGGATCAACTTCCAAAAGAGGACGGGGCCTGCGAATTGATGAAAATGGAACTCTCCCTAGAGCATCAACCTGAAGAAAAGCATGAGGCTCAGTATTAGCGCGAGCTCGTGGAGGGAGTTCCCTAATTTGATTTGGACAGAAGTGATGCTTCAACTTAGCATTAGAGGACTTCTTTGCAAGACAAGCCTGGTGATAATAATCATCTACATAAGGATCATTACTATGTGTTGCTGCAAGCTGCATCCTAAGAATATTTTCAATCTCCTCAGTTGTCATATACTTGGACCTAAATTGTGGCCATCCACTTTCACTCTTCTGGAAACTCATATCAAAACTTTGTGGAGGAAACCGGAAATTCTGTCTAACTTTGGACACTAACTTTGGTCTCTGATCTCTCATGTCGATCAGCCCAAGCATCTGTTCATATTTGCCAATCATGGGTGCACCAAGAGAAGTATTGGAATTATAAGGATGGGATGGGAAACCTGATAAAAATCCAGGAGAAGGCTGAAGAGGAGGATGCATTCTCTGCTGTGGTTGCTGCAATTGAGTCACCCGATGTGGAGGCATTGATCCATTATGAAGGGGTAACTGCTGCGGCAATAAATTGTTCCGAAGGTTGGGATGATCTCCAGGATAAACTCCTACTTGGTTGGCCCATTGGTTAGACATCCGATTATTAACAGGAGAACCACTTGTCGTCTGGTGCACATTCCCACCAAAATGGGACCCAGCTAAGCTAGTCAATGGAATCTGGGAATTGGAGAAATGAGAATGATTGGATGAAGGCAATGACATCTGAGACCCACCAACATGATATGGCATATTCAGGTGGCCTGCACTCTGATTTGGAGAATCCTGCTGCGACCTTCCACCAGAGTGAGGATAAGGAGATTTTGGAACCAAAATTGGTTCACTAGAATAATGTTGATGTTGTTGTTGCAGCTGCTGCTGTTGCTCGGGATATGAAGATGTTCTGTGCAATGCCCTTGACTCTTGTAACTGAACAAATGAAGGATGTGGTTGTGATGACCATCTTTTGCCATCCTGAGCACCTTCGCTTTCATAATCATGCTGATCAAACCAATTAGAAACATGGTCCCTTTGTGCCCATTCAGCAGCAGATGAATCTAAATAAAATATTCCGAGTAATATAAAGAATTAAGTCAACCAATACAAGAAACGCAGACAGCAAAAGGGTCAGCACATATTCCCATAACAAAGAAACCTACATCTCATTCAAGGCCAAAAAGTCTAGCAGAGCCAAATTTTGTGGGTACTTAATTTCATGGAGCAGCATATTCCAATGCAGCAATATGAGCATTTCTCCCACATGCATAGTGGTAGCAACACTATTTTGCGCTCAATTTAAAGAACAAAAACTCACATGCAGCTTATGCCAGAAATTTTTTTTTTTTTAAAGGAACTCACATGCAGAGAGGAAATGGTGCATAATGAAGACATTGATTTGTAGCCAGAAGTCAGTGCCCCAGCACTAATGACATGCATAATGAGGACAAAACCCAATATTGAAGAGAACATATTTCATAAATAGAATAAGATAATAATATTCATACAGGATGACAACAGTAGACACCTATTCCTCATAGATTGATAGGGGTAAAACGCAAGAGAAGCTTGCATGTGTTTGAAATTATATTCATGTAATAGCTATACTCACTTTCTCTTGACACTTGTTCGCCCATAAGTCCCATGCTTCTCGTTCCACTAACAACTGGGTTCAACTGAAATGAGACAACAATCTTACAACGGAATGCCACACGCCATATAAAATAAAGTGTACAGCAAGTCAAAGCAGGCCAAACTTTATCATGAACATTGTAACAAACAACCAAATCAACAAGCATTGATAGAACTCATGCAAGCCCAGAAGAAAATAAGGCAACATATAATTTCCAGAATCAGCAGCTTAAAAAATGGTAGCATATGATGAAAATGATGCATGATTAGCAGATATATTTTCTCTTTCAATAAACCTTCTAATTCTTCATATTTTCCTGTTTCTTTCTCCCTTTTCCAATGGATAAAAGGTTTATTGAAGAAAATGCATAACCACATAAGCAGCAGCTGGATCAAGACAGTCATCTTGAAAGCCAATTCCTCATTAATTCATTACAGAAACATGAGGCGCCATATCTTCAAGCAAAAATATCTTCCATTGACCAACACCTCACGTTTGAAATCAAGGCATATCAGACCAAGTATCATAAGTTGAAGGCTGCATCTCATAGTTTTCTCCCACATCATCCAGGACAGCACATTGCAAAAGATATCCTATGTCCATTCCATTATCTCCAACAAGAGGGAGAAAACAATAAAAGCGCTGTTTGGGAAAACTATGACTTAGAGACTCTTGGCAAGGAAATTTACAATTTAAGAACACAATAAAAAGAGTGGTTACTGATTAAACTATAAGCTTCACTAATTTCTCTTTTGCTCAATTTTCCCAGATCAAAAATGTCTTTGCCAAGACTACCAAAATATAAACTATAAGGTCTGATTTTTTTAAGACAAAACTAGCAATAAAATGGTTTTCCTATATTACCTTCTAGAAGAGGATGTTATATATTTAGCATTTCTCTAACTATCTGATATAGTTTCCCTGAATAGCCCTCTGAAACCCACCCACCTATTCAGCAATGGGAGGAAATCAGGAAATAACATTATCATCAATGTCTTAAAAATAGACTAAGTTGTAAGGCCTATTGGTTAGACATAGCATAACTGTCGCATGTTACTACACCTTCATGCTCATTAATTTGACAAATGAAATTATAAATGTGAGAATTTGATTTTTCTTTTTAATTGTAAAAGAGGCTTGATATGACAGTGATTAAAAATCTAACCTTTGAAAAGGTGGTGCTAAGATCATCAAAATCTGAAATGGATCTCATATCTTCAGCCTGCATTGGGCAATAAGAGGCAATTAGAGAAAAATTAACCTCTAGAATCATAATTGGAGAAAACAAGTACTGTCGTCTTCTCATCCAAACAAGCAAGATTCTTTTCAATTTTAAATTCCTATCCAAATATATTATTCAACCAAATACATGTCACATAAATAACGCCTCAACAAAAGAATGCAACAGCTATGCTAAGTGCAATCTACAGCATTAGAAAAGGGAAATAGATGGGAAATTAAATCACAAAACGTAACAATCACCAAAAGACTTGAGTTCATTTTTGCGAAGACAAAAAATCATTGATAGAGCGAAGAAACTATACAAGTGGGGAGTAAAAACACACAGGACAAGAGATATATGACCCTTGCACAGGAAAATGATTGAAGAACGAGCAAAATGAATATTTGGAAATTCAAGATTTTTTTTCTGGGGCAACAGTCATTTATTAATTAAATAAAAAATACGAAAAAGTTTGTTTTCAGAGACAAAAGGGGCATACCATTAATTTAAAACAGAAATTAGTGGGTATATCTTATAACTTATACCCTAACGCATGAAAGATCCAACTTTGAAGAGGGAGGATAATGTACCAGAAAATAGTCATCCTATTATGTATCACAAAATTATTGTGTAAGTCCACTTTAGAGATATACCACAAAATTATTATAATATTTCATATTATAATAATCCACTTCAGAGAGGGAGCAAAAGAGGCAAAGGAGGAACACTAGCAAATTAACAAAAATATGAAGCAAGAATTAACATGATGCATTAAACTCTTACAATAAATGAAACAAATGTAGAACCCTCAACAGAAAAAGAAAATTAAATCATATGTCAATTTTACATATCCAACTTTTTCTTTATTTTTACCCCAAAAAAAATCCTAAATATATCAACCAAAGTAATTTTAATGGATGGAACTCAGATAAAAATAAATACGCATGTACCTCTTCTTTTCGAAAAAAAATTTCCTCCTCCTCATCAAATTCAACAGGATGTAAATCATATTCTTCATCTTCTAATCCCCCCAACTCAACTTCCTCAACAACATCTTTCCCAAAGAAGGCATATTGCGATGCATCAAATACTTCATCTCCTGCATAATATAAAAGTTTGAGACAATAATCACCCAACTAAATTTCTTCAGACGATTAGTGCACACAGCTTCGCATTGATGAGGTAATTTACATGCATGCAAAGCTAACAAGAACATGATTTATATACAGGTAATCGATATTACGATAAATAAGAAAATTTTCAGGAAGAAAACAACTATAATAGCTGGCAAGCCAAAGGTGTTCTCGTTGAACACAGAATTTTAATGCTGGGCAATCAACCCTTCACTAATATTGAGAAAACCATTTAGCAGCAGATGTAAATGCAAAAATTTCTTTACGCCAGAAACAGATGTTGAAAATCCACAGAATTTTCTATGAAGAAGAGAGTCTCTAGAGTGCTCCTTACTCCATGAATTATGTCACAGTCACACAAGAAGTTCCTTCAGGATCATGCAAAGTGAATAAGCAAGCTGAGTCAAGTCAGGAAACCAATGGTCGAATAACTTTAAGTAACTTGTCTTTTCTCGAGGCAGCCCATGACAGCATGCAATTAAATTGGGTATGAGCATTCATAAAATCATTCAAATTTAGACACTAAAGTTAATAAAAACAAACAAACAAAAAAAAATTCTGTTAAGCAGCAGAAGTTCTGTATCGGACTCAAATGTTTTACGCCTCAAATAATTTGTCACTTGAAAGTTACCCATTGTCCATCGAGCAGCAAATAAGAGAGCATTCAGAGACAATACAATCTCTGTATATTCTTTTCTTTCGTTTTCTAAAAATTCAAAGTAGTTGGTAGCTTACCAGATCTAAGTAAGTAGATTAGCAGAGATCAAGTAAAAAAGGCCAATATAAGTGAAGCAAACCTGTAGGTATATCGCCAAGTTGCTTAAAATTCTGTGGGTTGGGAGCATCTTGAATATCACCCCCAGCACCAAACCCATCCATTTTCACCAATACTATACGGTAAAAGAAAAACAATCAATCGCCTAAAAACCCCAAACCCAGAAACGCGAGGGAGGAGAAAAAATTGAGTTCTAAATCTCAAAGGTGAATCGATACAGCAGATAAATTATTCAGAAATTCGCAGGAGGGTTCTTCTGCTAAGAAGTTATCAAAACAGAGTGAGACATCCTTGAAACAGATTGAGTGCAGAAGTTAGAGGCAGAGATTTGTTCCATTAAAAAACACTAAAGGGGTTGGTTTTAAAGGAAGAAGCGTACAGAGGAGAACCCTAGGAAGGGGATAACGATTGAGATTTGCAAAATATAAGATAACAAACGAAGACGAGAAGAGTTGCGAGAGATGGAGAGAGAAAGAGAGAGAGAGGGAAGATGAGATTATTATTTAGTGAAAATAATTATGGTTGAAGAAGAAGTTCACAAACACTTCAGTTACTTCCGAGTTAGCGATTTGTTGATATGAGAGAGAGCGATGAAGGCAACGGTGATCCTCGATAGATGATGTATACCAATATCAAAATTAATATTGAATATTCGATCTATTATCATCTACGAACGATAACTTCATGAGTAGGGTTTCGTGCGCACAAGCTTCGCAACTAATTTTCCCTTGCCTATTCTTTTTTCTTCTCGCCAACCTTTGCTTGGATCAAATCTAATCAATTTTTTACTTGAAAATAATAGGGTGCATGATCTCTTTAATTTTAAAAATATACTATAATCTTAATGGTTCTCAAATCCAACTCACAAAAAAAAATTAAGATTCACAATATACACATACATTATTTTTAAATATGAACTCAGGGAAAAACACAATTGACTACTACAACTTTTTCTCTGACAAAAATATGTTAACCTTGTCACTTTGTTTTTCAAGTGTACTAATATTTGTTAAATTTGATATTGTATAACAAATTTGTCACATCCTTTTCTAGCGATAAAGTTCGTTGAATTATAAATAGTCACAAAGCATCCCCGTATTTTATACATAAATTAGATAGATAGATTAGATCTTTTAGGGGTCACACTTAAAAATTAACCATGTGTTTTAAAAGTTTCCATCTAAAACATTTGCTTGGCCCTTAATAAAAAAAGTAAATTTTATTTATTATAATTTATTTTCTGGCAAAAAATATTTATGATTTACTAATTACATGTTTTCTATAATTTTTTAGTATGTTTTTTATATGTTGGTGATCTATTGATTATTTCTTGGATAATGATTAATAATAATAATTATTATTATCATCATCATCATCATCATCATTATAATTTTTAAAATATTATTTTTTTGTTTTTTGTTGAATAGAAAAATCTTGTAAAAATATTAAAATATATGTTAGTTTCATGATTTAAAAATTTTTTATTGTTGTATGAGATTTTATTTAAAAATAAACCTTTGCATATCTTGGATTTAATTATGAAAAAGTAAAACTATATAGTGTCTTTTTTTCTACGAAAGCTTATCGTATTGGGAATCTTAATCAGGGGGCTTGTCGCCTTTTGGCTTTTGTCGAAAAGCAAGCTGGAAACAAACAAGATCTCTCTCTCTCTCTCTCTCTCTCTCTCTCTCACCCACCCACCTATATATTGTTAATGTTCTCTTTTTTTTTGGGCCAACTGCATATATTGTTAATTTATTATTAAAAAAATTTAAATTAACCGAGGAATTTAAAAAAAGATCATCTATTTCTCTCTAAAATATTAAATTAATAAGAAATATTAATTTTATAACTTAATTTAAAATTAATAAAAAAAATAGCGAGGGATTGTCAAACACTCTTTAAAATAAGAGAATTAGTGAGAAAAATAATGAGGGAATACCAATCTCTCTTTAAAATAAGAGAATTAGCGAGAAAAACAGTGAATGATTGTCAACTCCTCTTCAAAATAAGAGAATTAGCAAGGAAAATAGTGAAAGATTATAAATCTCTCTTTAAAATAAGATGATTAGCTATGGATTTTGTCCCTAGCTAATTACTATAAAAAAAATTTAACTTTTAACAATAACTTTTAATTATATATTTAATTATTTTTATTTAAAAATAAAAATTAAATTTAAAAATTAAATAAAATATCCATAATAAAATTATTAAATATTTTCTTTATTTTAAGTTGATTTCCATTAAGGAAATAATATTTTATTAAAAATATAATTTAAATAATAATTTAAATAAAATATAAATATTGTTAACATATTAATAATTGCAAATAAAATTTAATATGTATATATGTGTATATTTTTATAGTATATTATTTAATATATTTATGTAGTTAAATAATATATATTTAATTTTTTATATAATGACTGCAGGTGCCTTTCAATTCAACTGGCAAACAAGAAGAGCATAATGCTTGAAAGATATGAGGTCAAGGATTCAATTCAAGTATTGGCTTTGGCATAAACATAATGAATATATGATATGGTAAAGAGCAAATGACATAGCGTAAGGCAGACAATAACATGTCACGAGTTTTCGCACATGTGGCAAGTGATGAGGCACAAGATGATAAGTGATATGACGGTCAACAAGACACGAGATCGTTAGTGATATGTCACAAGTTGATGCATACATGACAGGTGATGTGGCATCATTATTTTTAAATATATGCATATTTAGCGAGGGATCAACGAGGGATTAATCCTTCATTAAAATGATCGAATTTTAAATAGTATTAGAGGGGGATTAGCGAGGGATTCAACCTCTAGCTAATTTTAGTGAGGGACTAAATCTCTCACTAATTTGAAAGAAAAATACGATTCTTCTCTAAATTTAGCAAGCCTTTTTTTACTTAAGAATTTAAGGAGAGACGAAATTTGTAACACACCAAATTTTTTTTTATAATTTAACTCAACCATAGTTGGGTTACAGCCACCCAACACATTTTATATCAATAATTTCAATATAAAAATATTTTATAATTGGTTTCAACTCGCACAATATAACATTTCAAATAAATTTTTACCTCCCACATGTCGTTAGGCTAAATCACCTTTGTCCATCCTTATACTCCCAACAAGTAAACTAAATTACATTTGTCCATCCTTATACTCCCAACAAGTAAAATAAATAATTTAGTCAATTTTCAAAACAAGCCAGTTATTTGACCTCATAATCATGCCATTTTAACAAATTCAAAGTAAACCAAATATTAAAATTACAGTCATCCAAATTGTACCAAAAATAGAAATAGTTTGAAAAGTATGATTACACTTACATATTCATATAATTGTCAATAAACAAAAAGTCCTAATATTGGCAATATAACACATTATAAATCATAAATCAAATACCCAAAAGAGACAGTGGATCTATGCCACTAAGCCTCTGAGACTCCTCCACGTGTCACTCATAGCTCTTCTCCTGAAAATTGTTAACCACATAATGAGACTCAAAAATCTCAGTAACCAAAGCTAATTTATGATAGTGTATACAAACAGTTAAGTGTGTGCTTATTAAGTGAGAATTAAAAATAATATAATTACAACAAAATATAAGAAATATTATAATACACACAAATAACTATCCTTATATCCCTCCATTAACCTCGAGCCGTAGCCCTCACTCGGTGCAAAATTACCCGGCCAAAGGTAGATTAGCCCAAACCCTTACAAGCCACCTATTGAGCTCCAATAAGGGCGTACCACGTGGTACATAAAATACAACAACAACAACAGTAAGTCTCCCAACACCTCCCACAATAATCAAACAAATTCATAATAATATTGCACAATTATACAATATTACAAAATTTATAATTTTCTCAATAATCACCCAATTAACATGAAGTAACACTAATCACAAATTAAAAGCATGGTTACCTCGTGGCTTTTTTAATAAATTATTCCTTACAATTTCTCTCCCACCACAATCTTCACCAATAATACAATCTACAAATAACATATTATTTATAAATATTAGTTTCAATTTTTTGAAACTAATAAAATAATTCCAATAATAGAGTTAAAAATATAACATAATTTCTAATCTCAATCTTAATACAAATCTAGAGTTAATACTATTAAGTAAAATTTTTAACTCCTCTTTTATTTACTCATCAATAAACATTAATGATCTAAAAATCAACTTCTAAACTAATTTCTATTATCAAAATTTTCTTTTTATTTCATAAATTCGCACCTAAAATACTCAAAAATTAAAAATTAAATCTCTAGCTTAGAATCATAATCCTATAGCCATAATAATTCATTTATCATCCCAAATAATCATCCAAACCTCAATAAATCAATATATATTTTTAGATCTAGTTTGGAATTTGATCCATAAGCCACAAATTCAAAGATCATCAATAAATTTATACTCTAGAACATTTATTATACTACTAACAACCTCAAAAACTATATTTATTCAACATAAATTCATCCCTCTTCCAGATCTTAAATTTTCTACCACTACAAACTCAGAAATCAAAGAAGAAGGATTACTAAGAAAAAATTTTAGAATACTTACTTAGTCTTGAAAAACTTAAAATCACACCCTAAATACCCTATTAAAAACTCTTACCTTAAAAACTTAGATCTCCCGCACCGACGACTCATGCTCACAGACGCTCTCTCTCTGCCTCAGCTCGCGCACAGGGAAGAATGAAAAAATAAAAGAAACAGGTGAGTTTTTATAAAAATTTAGTGGGTCTCACATTTTTATTATTATTTCTTCTTTCCTCTCTCTTCTTTCTTTTTTTTATTATAATATGGTAATCATGCGCCGAAAGAGGAAGCCAACTTTCTTCTTCTTCTTTACTTTTTTTTAATACCTTTTCTTTTTTATTATAATAATAATTTAATAATATTTTTTTATTATTTTTTATTATTTTTTTAATTATTTTTTTTAATTTTAATTTAGAATTATATCCTAAGTTAAATTTAATAATCATCTCCTACTAATTTGCTTACCTCTAAATATTCTTTTTCAAAATTTCTATTAACCCAAATTAACTATTAAAATTTAAATTGAGATGTTACAAAATTCCTCACTAAAATACAATTTAGTTAAAAAAAATGACATTTAATAAGTGCTAAATTCTATTTTTCTAATAGTGATTCAACATGTATGAACGAATTTTTAATGACGAACTGTTTATTATAGCATAAAGATAGAAAATAAAACTAGTAAATATGTAAAGAAATTTTATTTTTGGCATTTGTATTAAGATGATGATTAATTGCTGGCAAGGACTTAAATTTATTAACAATAATATACAAATAAATGCCCTCAAGATAAATCAACCTATGTGAAAATATATCTAAGGTATTTGATATCTTTTCAACATTAAGTTATATATATTCCCTCGAGGAAGAAAAAAAAAATAGAATTGGAAATCATGTGATTAGGAGGCAGTTGATGCAGATAGGTCTATTCAATTCAAGGATGATTAATTGTTTCCTTGTCAAGGACGGTGCGAGGCATATACTCTTGGAATTTTTGTGAAGCGTGTGAGACAGAGAGAGACCTAGAGAGAGATTGATT